ATTCTTTTAATTTTTCAAAGGCCACTTGTGCTTCGTCACTCATGAGAAGGTCGACTTCTTCTTTAGTAATTTGAAGAACGAGAAGCTTTTTTCTGCGGCTCGAGCAATGAACCTGCTCAGCCCTGCAATTCGTCCCATCAGAACTTGTACATCTCCTATACTTCTTGGTGGGGCCATGTCGAGTATGGCTTTCACTTTCTCCCGGTTTACCTCGATTCCATGCTCTGTGACGATATATCCCAGGAATCGTCCTGCCTTTACTCCAAAGGCACACTTGTTTGGGTTCAGCTTCATCCCGAACGCCCTAAGAGTTTGAAATGTTTCCCTTAAATCGTCTGGGTGTGAGGTCGAGGCTCTACTCTTCACCAAGATATCATCCACATATACCTCGATATTTCGCCCGATCTGAGCTTTGAACATTCGATCCATCAGCCGTTGGTAGGTTGCTCCAGCATTCTTAAGTCCAAAAGGCATGACGACATAGAAGTACGTCCCTTTACTCGTCACGAAGCTCACCTTACTTTGATCTTCTGGGCATAACGGGATCTGGTGGTATCCCTGAGATGCATCAATCATACTCAATAACTCGCAACCAGTCGTAGAGTCGACGAGCTGATCAATTCGTGGTAGGGGATAATGATCTTTTGGGCAGGCCAAGTTTAAGTCACGGAAATCGATGCACATGCGCCATTTGTTTAGCGCCTTTCTCACCATCACGGTGTTGGATATCCACTAAGGAAATTGGATTTCTTTGACATGCCCCGCCCGCAGCAACTTATGAACCTCGACTTCAATTGCTTTGTCGATTTCTTCACCATTACGTCTAAGTCGCTGTTTTACTGGCTTTCTGAGGGGGTCGACGTTGAGTTTATGTTCCATAATAGCGGGGTCGATCCCTGTCAACTCCTCAGGGGTGAAGGTGAAAACATCCCTGAATTCCTTTAGTAGTGTGATCAGTTGGTTTCGTAGCTCGACTTTCAGATCTTTCCCGATCTTAGTGGTCTGTTCCTTTGTTTCTCCGATTTGTATTTCCATTAAATCCCCGTGTGGTTCGAGATCACTATTCCTTGGCCTTTTCTCGCTCATCATTGGCTTCTTTCCCTCCTTAACTTCGGCCCGTTGGTTAGTTTTTACAGCGATTTGATAACAAGTCCTCGACAGCTTTTGATCGCCTCGAGCTTCCCCAACTTGGTCTCCGACTGGGAACTTTAGCTTCATATGGTAGGTCGATACTACCGCCTGGAATGCGTTAAGTGCTGGCCTCCCAAGGATCACATTGTAAGCTGACTCGACATCAACCACCACGAATCTCACCATTTTAACCTTCCACAAGTCACCTTCCCCTAGAACGACAGCGAGCATGGTTTCACCTAGGGGCGCGACCTCTGATCCGTTGAAACCGAATAGTGAGGTATGAAGGGGTGTGAGTTGTATGTCGAGCTCCATCCTTTTGAGACAATCATAAAAAATCACATTTACGGAACTCCCAGTGTCGACGAACACTCTCTGCACTTCATATCCCGATATTTGGGCTGTTATCATCAATGCGTCGTTCTGAGGCCTCTTTCTCCTGCATCTGCTGGGCCGAAGTTTATTACCGGTCCATTCTCATCGGCTTGTTGTATCTCGACTTTCCCATGGTGCCCTCGGGCATACGCCTTCCTTGCTCGATTCGAATCCCCATCAGTTGATCCTCCAAATATCATATGTATGATTCCCCTTTTCTGTGGGAGCTCCTCTTTCTCCGGCGTTCTTGCCCTCTTGCGAGGGCTCCTGCTCCTTTCCCTTCTTCTGTTCGACTTTTCTCGATCCTTATATATGAATTCCTTCAAGTGTCCTGCCTTAATCAGTCTTTCGATTTCGTCTTTAAGGTGCCTGCAGTCGTCAGTATTGTGACCATAGTCTTTGTGGAATCGACAGTACATGTTACTCTTCGGTCTCGTTGGTCCATCTTTTCTCGTCTTGGGCCATCTTACAACATTGTCATGAATTTCTTTTTCTATTACTTCCAGAATTCGCGCTTGAGAGGCCGACAAAGGGGTGTATTGAGTCGGCCTCCAACCCCTAGGTCGCCCCTCTCTCTCTGCCCGCGGGGACCCCTTTCTCTCCCCAGCCGAGGAAATACTCTTCTCCCTTCTCTCTTCCTGAGGGTCAGCTCTACTTTCTTTAGCTTTTCGCGAGAAATCGATCTCCGCCTCCTCGACATTCATATACTTCGCGCATCTCCCCAGCACTTCGTCGAACGTTCTACCCGGGCGCTTTGCCAGAGAATTCCTGCACAAGCCCGGTAGCAACCCTCGTGTCAAACCTCCTGCCTTTATCTCCTCTGACGCCCTGGGCACCTCGACACATGCTCGCGTATATCTTGCCACATAATCTCGTAGCGACTCACCTTCCTTCTGCTGGATGCCCATTAAGGTCAGATACGACTTCTCCTGCGGTCTCACACTTGCAAATTGATTGAGAAAACTCGCACTGAATCCTTCAAAATCCTTGATGGATCCCGCTGGTAGTTGGTGGAACCAATCCTGTGCAGATCCCCGCAAAGTGGTTAGGAAAGCTCGACATTGCACAGGGTCATTATAGCGATGCAAGACCGCCATATTCTCGAAACTCCTCATGTGACGAGATGGATCAGTCGACCCGTCATAACTTATGTTTAGATCACGAAAACCTTGCGGCAGGTCGGCATCCAGGATGTGCTGCGAGAACGGATGTCCCCTCGAGCCTCCAACTTTCCTTCCCTCGACTCGGGCCTGTAAATCACGAACCTGGGCCAGCAACTGCTCCAGCGTTTCATCTCTCGCCTGCGGATTAGCGGTCCTAATGGAGGATGCCTCTTCCTCCACCCTTCTGTTTTGCCTATCATTGGACTGGGCTTGTTGCTCGTGATCATGGGGCGGTGGTTCAATCCTGTGCTGCTCGATCCTGGGCTGCTCGAGCCTGGGCTGCTCGACTTGTACCTGCTCGAGTCGGGCTGCCACCGCCTCCGCTATCATTCTTTGCATCTCATTCCTTGTCACAGTCATCATCTGCTTCGGCCTGGGGTGGTGGCATCGTCACTTGTTCCAACACTCTGGATTGCTTTCCCAGGCTCAAATTCGTTTCTGTGGACTCGCGGCCATCGACTCCCGTGTTCGCGCCTTTCACCTGACTAGGTTCTCCTTGTGTTATCCCCGGAATTTTTACCCTGGGAGGCGTGATGGGTGTTTCTTCCTCAATACGCACCCCCGACGGCGCGTGTCCCCCAAGGGTGGAAAACCGAGGACCTGAAGCGGTGGTCTAGGGCCAGGAATCGACGGCGGCCGCTTGTCCGTCCACGCTGCCCTGAATTCCTCGTTTAGATTTCTCGATAATCCTTCCTTCTCCGCCATGTCAAACAGATCGGAACTAGGTGTAAAGCTCTTACTTCCTTCAAGAACTCCCCACAAACGGCGCCAATTTGATGGGTCTCCTCCTAGATCTGGAGTGAACCGGTGGAAATGAGCTCCGGTCTGTTTGAATCGTCTCCAAGTCGCCCGTGGACCGTTGTGAACACCTGCAAGAACTCAACACCGGAAGTGTTTTCCGGTGAAGAGCCTCCGACGCTCAAGTCAGTCAGAGAGGAGAGGAGGAGCTCTGCTTAGTGGGAGCAGCAGCTGAATAATGAATGAGGAGAATAATAGTTAGGGTTTGGAGTCACCTCTACTCCTTTATATAGGGGTAGAAATGCTCACGAGAAATACCTGAAATGCCCTGGCCGACTTGCCTGAAGTGTCCAAAATGCCCTGGTCGGTTCACATTCCGCCCACTCTCTGAGTCAGCACCTAGATTCCTTCTCATCTCATATAAATTCTCTAGCTCAGGAAGCCTTGTTATGATACGGAGATAAATGCGAGTCGTCAGAGGTACTCTAAGTCGAGTTGGAGCTTTGTCGAGCCGACTTATGATCCTGTTAGTATATCCGAGGTTCTCTGAATGTTTATTCGCCTTCCAGCGCGTAAGTCGACTTACACCAAGTCGACTTCCTAAAGTCGTCTCTTGATCGTCCCTAAGCCGGTGGCGATCTTCTTTATGACTGACAAGTCATGTCGACTTGGGGAGGTATCGTCTTGACGACATCCTTGGCAGCGTCTGTTGAGTCGGGTAACTAACGCCTGAACCGGGCTATGATAATAGGGCTATATCACTTACGAAAAATAGAATAGTTAAATCTTCGGTACAAAACCAATTTTTTCTTACAATCTACGGCCCCATGCCGGAGGGGGGTTGATTTCAACCATCAGCAATTCGATTTGTGATATGGAATGAATATAATCTTATGGCATGGCGCTTGAGCAACACATATTGCTAAAAATAGTCCCTCGACAGCCAATTAGCTTCAATTGGAAGAAACTTCGGAAAAATAAAAGGAACACGTGTACTTGCGGGCAATACCATTCTTAATTTGAGACTTACTTTTTTTACCTAATGCCCTTAGAATCGTAATATCATATTATCCCACCAGCCTCCAATTCTTGTTTACTCATGAGCAACCATAGCTATTTGCAATAATTTCACCACCTAATAATTGTATTTGTGATAGCTTTAGTTGAAACAATCTTTTCAACCCATACATGATGATATTAGTTAACTACCGCTGCTACCAAATCGTCATCATCATGCTTTTCAAACGCTATTAACAGCAGTCATTTTCTATCCTCACATGAATTCATCAGTAGAAGCCACACACCATAATTAACCAATTAGGCCAGCTCAAGGCTGCCTAGCTTCATGACGAGGTTTCTTGATGAGGTCCGTTTTTGGTACGTCAAGGGTCGACCTGTTTTCTGTTTCTTGTATAAACGGGTCATATGGGGATGGGGTGCCACCCGTTTTAGGACATGAATAGTATAAAAATATGAGTGTACATGAATTATATAAATTTGCATGCTCTTACTTGTTATTATTGACTTACATAGTTGCAAGTTAAAGCAAAGTGGGGGCATTTTAATAAAGTAGTGAGATTTGCAAGTAAAAATATGTATGATCCCATACTGGCGAAAAGCTTCAATAGTTATGAACGCAGGAGATTGGGATGCTCCGCACTCGTGGTGTGCTCCATCATTGCCTTTAGTGTCTGCTCGTCATTCGATCCTCGTCTCTATACGTCGTCACTCAGTAAGTAGTCCTTTTTGCATCTAATGGTGATTTATTGCTATACTACATATGTATGAATGCTCAAGTCTTGAATTCCTATATATGTGCTCTAGTTGGTGAGGCTGTCAATACAAAGTTGCCGATCCATATGTTTGTAGCGGGTGACAATAACTCCAACCCAACAGGTAATCCAACATAGATTTGTGATTGTTTGTGTCTTAGAAAAGAAAATATTAATTAATTCAATAATTTACATAGGCATTAATCTTTTAATTGTGTTCCAGTGGGTAGTTCTCCAAATAGATTTGTGGTGAAGTCTCCTCAACATGAGGCAATCCAAATACCACGAGTCGAGTGCAGGATATCGGAAAGAGGTGGTGCGGGTTATTGTGAGATGGAAGGGGACGTACGTGTGGACGCCAACTGTTCCACCGTGTTCATGGTGGGCCCCACCCCAACAAACAGTAATTCAAGTTCGTGGATCATCAAACCTTACCCAAGGAAACATATCTCCAACGTCAAGAATTGGAGGGTAATGTTAGTGTCGATGGATCGCGACGCTCCACGGTGCACACAGACCCACACTCTCCCGGCCCTCCTTTTCTCGACGGGAGGATACACGGGCAACCACTTCCACGATTTTGCCGACCTCATACTCCCCTTATTCTCCACCACCTTCCCTTTCAACACACAAATCCATTTTCTCGCCACCGACTACAAGCCCTGGTGGGTCTCCAAATTCAGCGTCCTCCTCCACCGCCTCACTGCACATCACATTATCGACATCGAAACACAAACAAAGCACGTGCACTGTTACGCCAACATGATCGTGGGCCTCCAGTTTTATCGGGAGCTCGTTTTTGCCCCGTCTGGCGGGACCCACATGCGCGACTTCCGGCAATTTCTCCGAGAAACCTACTCGTTGAGAAGGAGGAGGAGGACAAGGGCGGACAAAAAGAAGAAGTCAAAGCCACGTCTGATGATCATCTCCAGGAAGAGGACACGAGTGGTGACGAACGAGGCTGAGGTGTCTCGAGCGGCTGTAAAACTAGGTTACGAGGTCATCTCGGCCGAGGCTAGGCTGTCGACCAATTTGACAAAGTTTGCGCAACTAGTGAACTCGTGCGACATGCTTATGGGGGTCCATGGGGCTGGCCTAACAAACATGCTTTTCTTGCCCGATCGTGCGCTTCTCATACAAATAGTCCCGTTTGGAGGCATCGACGTTTATGCCAGGCTCGATTTTGGAAACCCTGCCCCCGCTATGAACGTCAAGTACTTGGAGTACAAGATAGCGATTAACGAGAGTTCGTTAAGCCGCCAGTATCCGTCTAATCACCCGGTTCTTCGAGATCCCCTGTCTTTCAAAAAGAAGGGGTGGGATGAGCTTAAGGCTGTCTACTTGGAAAATCAGAATGTCACTATTGATATTCACAGGTTTAAGGGCACCCTGGCTAAAGCTCTCAACCTCTTACATAACTAATTAGTGTATACAACAAGTTGTATTCATGTCCAGTTCCTTGTGTCTTTGGTGGGGAATGTCGTGTATTATGAATAGCATACCACAGTTGTTGAGGAGCTGTGGGCCGAACAAGTTTGAGTGCTCTTGCATTTCAGCTTAATTAAAAATTAATACACTGAATTTTAAGTTATAAATATTTTAGGGATATTGATGAGGATAGTTAATTATTATTATTATTATTATTATTATTATTATTATTATTATTATTATTATTATTATTATTATTATTATTATTATTATTATCTCTTCCTTATCTACTGAGTTGGTAAGGATAATCTTCTATCTTGATTAGAAGAATATTTATTTCTTGTTTATCAAGTTAGGAGTTCTATTTATTATTCGTGTTTGATGGAATAATGGATCAGTTGA